TGCAGACAGGCAGAGATAGAGACGGAAAATTGAGTCAAGCGCGGTAGTAAGTAAAGTGCGTGGATCGTTCATTGTGAATTATAGTGTGTGTTTAAGTTAAAGTAACTATGGAAATTAAGTGTATTGCAAAGTTGTATTGAAAAAGAATAAACTAGTTTTATTTAAGGAAGAACTTGTATCGCTAAAGTTTCTCGGGAAGAATTTCCACCGGAAATTAACAAACGAACAGAGACGTAACAATATGTTTAGAATTAGAAAAGTTTTGAAGCCCAATAATTTATTTGGTATAGCATCTTTTTTTTTAAGACGACTCATGTTTTAAACTGTGAGTTTTTTGTTTTTCAGTCTTTGCAGGAATTACGAATACAAATCTCATATTCACTGAAAATGAGAGAGAATTCTAAATAGTAAACTCGCATATCTACTGGAGGTGCTTAGCGATACATGCAACGTTAATACATTTTAATTCTTAAAGAAATTTCTTGTGTAAACACCTTACAATAATTACACGCAAGAGAGAGAGAGGAGGGGGGACATTACTTCTCAACTGTTATTTACTTTTGTAGAGCTTTATTTATTTTTAATTTGGCCTAATTTCTAACACACGCCGTTTAATTAAGCAGCATTACTATTATTAGTATTACAAGTTAATCAATTTCTGGTAATGTCCATACACCTAACTGGCCATCCTCAATTTTTATTATATTATATTTTTATTTTACGTTTAACTTGAAATATACTTAGTGATTAAAAAAAGGATAATTTATTAATTTCGCGGTGGTTTTTACTCGTATAGACAAAAGCACATATGATGTCATATTCAACCTAAGCCTCCTTTCAGTTGATCCATTTCATCAAACAGATAAAGAGGATTACATGGTTGACGGGATAAAACGTCAAGACAGCTGATGACGTGTGACACTGAAGCATGGAACTAGAAAGATCATGTAGTGGCACATCTCGCAGCTCCTCCGGAGTATGACACTGCGTCTTTCTAGGCCTACTTACCACATCCTTGTGGACTCCTTGCATCCACTCTCGAAACCAAACAATGTCACAGTCACAGTGAAAAGGGTTATCTTAAATAAAAAGGAACATGAAAATAATGGTAAATTAGTTGTTTTTTATTATACAAACAATAAAATACCAACTAATATGAAATAGCAAGTGTGACGAATGAAATAGTAGTACGAGATTTAGACATGAAGTCCACACCCTACATTTTTTTATATTTTAATGTTTTATTATGTAAAAATGCTTAAGTTGAGAAAGCCATAAAAGACCTGGATTTTTCAATCATCAATACCAAATTGCGCTTGATCACATTGTTTTCTTGAAAGTATTCGGCAATGACTTCATTATACACCACTGCCGCCACCTCTCGTCACCACATACCACACTTTCTAGCCTAGCTTTAGTACTAGGCTATGATTAGCTGATTTTTCGTGTTTTTTTTTTCAGGGGTCAACTCTACAGAGCTTACATATTAACAAGGCATATTTCGTGATCAAGGAAATGTTAAAAATCATTCACTTAAGCCTATTAGCTAGACCAGTCCACGCACATACGCAAGGAGGGAGAGGGTGAGGGGTTCTACCGAACCCCCTATTTTTGTGATATAAAAAAATTATGCTTATATAGTTATAGTATAGCTGTTTATGGTATTTAATGTTTTTTACATAGTCCAGATTTTAATCTCACAGCACCTATTTTTTACACATTCTCTGGGAAATATGCCCCCAGACCCCCGTAGTATTAGCATGCTGATTGTGCTTCGTACAATATGTGTTGGCTTTTAATCTCACAAATTATAACCCCCTTTCAAACATTCTGCAGTCCACAATGAACTAGTGAATTAATTAGGCCAACCCTGCTGAAAGAAATAATATTAACTACTATCCACGCGGCGCTAAAAAATAATACAAAAATCCGCGATCAAAAGTACTAGTCGTAAGCATAAATCAAAAACGAAAAAGGCCTACAACTCCAGCGACACATAACTTTAGGCTTAAAATATTCAATCAAACTTGAAAGAGCTTTGTCCCGTTTTGATTGAAAGTAAACTGAAATATATATATAACAATGACATTGTGTTATCAAATGCTTTTCGAATAGCAGACGACGTATCCTAATAATCTGAGTACGCACACGCTTTGCTAAGAATTGTGGGAATTTCAGCATTTTGTTAAGGTTTCGACATACTTGTTAGAAAATATATTTCAAATAGTCGCTGCCACAAAAAATTTGATATTTTGAATTTAACCATTGTAAGATATGTGAATTCAACGTAGTGAATTTGAAAATAAAAATATTCGTAAAAACCTTGGTGTCGATGCCGTGCCGAGCGGAAATCCAAGATGGTGCGATCATTTGGGCCAAGAAATCCAAGTCCGTAGTATATGCACAGATTTGATATGGTATACACTTATATCTATTTGACGAACTTTGTTTGTTTGTTATAAAGTAGTGACAATACCAGGTCTCAAACTGACATATACAAGATGTGATATTTTTGCCACCTTATGCCTATCACAGAAAAGTAAGTAAAATATCAGGAGTGTACTTTAAACATGAACTAAGAATGCCTAATCTGGAATTATTACTTCAGTGAATCTATGTATAAATGTCAAGTGTTATTTTCATAAAAAAACGTGTTTTGGTTAGTCGAAGTTATGAGGTGATTATTTATACCGATTTATTTTTCAATGCTATGGCCTAACATGAAACATCTTGGGGAGGATTATCAGTCCTAAAAAATAGTGAAATTTAAGGTTTACTGCAGAGTTACATTCACCGAAAGCCGTATAATTGTAAACAGTAAACACTCACGCATCTACTCAACAATATCTATAACTATACTATATTTTACTTCTTAACGTTTTATTTTGAAACCGATGGACATTTGTACCATCTAACATCCGTAAAATATTTTAAAACATTCTGGAATATTTAATACTAAACACGTAAGTAATGGCAAGTTCCAATCTGAGCAAAAAAATGTTTTATTAATAATTATTAACATAAAACAACTTGTCATGTAGAATAATTAAGTCGAATTTATATTTAAAAAAATCTAGTAAAATTGGGCCACGTGACAGTTTCATGGCTTTCAAACCAAATCTTCAATTCAAAGTACCTTTCCTTTGAGATCATGAAAAAACATATTACTTTTCATAATGATCAAATTGATCGTTAGTAAAAATTACTCCTTAATTGGTAGGTCAAAAATATACTACCCAGCAATAGTGTAACCAGGATTTGGAGGTTGGGGATGGGAGGTAAGTTATGAAATAATTTCGAAGATCAGTTCAATCTTTGATCAAGACACGCGGTAGTGTCATGCGGCCAAAACAACCTGCAGAACACACTGTATGTTATTAACAGGAGTGACAGTTTTGCAATTTTCCACTTTCTATAGCTCGGACTATGGTAATCCAAACTATCACATATTTTTACTGGACCCTTACTTCACATACCAAATTTCAAGGCAATCCGTTAAGAAACACACGAAATACACAATCTCCAATTTTGATTGCCTAAAGGAAAATGTTCTTATTTCCTACATTATGGGAAATGTCTTGAAACGCTCCCTTGTACTTTATGCATACTTTAGGGGTCGGTAGTCGTTACACAAGTAAGCTTCACCTTCTGGCAAATTTGGTCGATGAAACATCTCTTAATTGTTCAATCACTTTCTGTTGGTTTGCGTCTGCCCCTAGCGAACAGTTTTGTTACCGATAATAAAAACTGAAAAGGGATGAGATAAAAAAGTTTTGGTAAAAGAAAATGAAACGCTAAATTACAAGTTTGTTATAATAAACAAACTTACCTTGAATGTCCAGAATTTCGATAATGTCTATGACGTTTTCAAAAGTAGACTCGTCAAGTGTTGTAAATAAATTTGACGATAGGTAGAGCCACCGGAGTGTGTTGTTTAGGACATCTAAAGCTCCCGTTTCGATTTCAACGATCCTGCGTAAGAACCGTATTAGATCTTATCAACATTTCAGTAGAAACTTACTTAGAAATAATTTGAATGATTCATTACAGTCACATTTCAAATAATAGAATAAAGAAATAATGTTATTGAAGTTTGAAATGTAAAGAGATCTTTAAGCCAAATAAAGACACGAAGAGCTCTTGAGATGAAATTTGAAATAACATTGAAACATTTGTGAAATAAATAAAAATATTTATAAGTTTAGTAGATTTTTCAGATAATTTTTTGTACATGGCAGAAATAATTAAAATTTGAACAGTTACAGAGTAGAATTCTATTACTAAACAAAAATCTAAATTTAATAAAATGACGGATTTTGCTGAATGCTGCTACCCTTTTCAATTGCGATTTTTAGAATTAAACTAAAAACAGATGGCGCTATACATGTTAGATTAAAAAAAGACTTAGTAATTCATCAGCTTAGCTAAATTCGATAATCAACAGAAAAAATAAATCAAGTTTTTCAAAAGGTTACTTTAGTATAGAATGAAACTGTTGTACACAAGCCTATCTGATCACCACGGGGAACTGAACTTCGGATTTAGCGTTCTAAGTCTGTAAATTTCCCGCTGACTCGCGAGAGTAAACAATACGATTAGTGAAAGGATTTGTACCTTCATATAAATTAGATACATTTTCAATAATAAAGATCAATCATAGCTTTCACACGAAATAAGTTAAGAATATATCAAATTAAATACAAGATTTATTATTATCAAGTTGAAAATACTTGAAATATCTGAGATATATTTGTTTTTTGTCAAATTTCGCGCAAAGTACTTGAAGGCTATCTCCTCCAGCCGTCCCAACTTTTGAAGGAACTTAATTATCCCCACCCATATTGAGTAGAAGACGATTGTTGTTTTATTTATATATTATACTTTATCTAATTCTTTCATTATTTTACACGAAGTCAATAACCTTATAAAGCCTAATTTATTTCAAATAAAAATGCTACATAGTTATAAATTTAAAATAATACCTCAAAGCCATTACCAGCTGTTTTTTTTTGTTGTTTTTTCTTTTCAAAATTATTTAATGTTCTAACGAATATCGTATAGTGAGTCTCTTAGTTGTTAGCATAACAAGCATTGAACTTATATTAATTGGGACCTAGCACGCCTGTTACTAAGGGTGCTCGACCCCCAACCTGTAATTCACAGGTTAGATTCTCGTTACTCGTGGGGACGTTCTAATGTGACGGTCTTTCCCACTTTTCGTTGGTAAAGAGGAGCCCAAGAGTTGGCGATGGGCGTTGTTCACGGATATTACTAAAAGTCGGTTTCGGTCTAGGTTCCAAACTATTTTATTTTGCTACGGACTTAATTCTTTTTAGACATTTTTATAGCTGGTGAAGAATAACATTTTAATTTATATTTTGAATGAAAACAAGAGAACACAAAATAAAAATAATTCCGAACCGAACGATAGACCAGATTTTAGGTGTATTAAAATCAAAATATACCAATATAATCCTGCTTACAGCCCTCTGTAAAACAGAATAAAGTAAAGGGACTTTCAGAGTCGAGAAGGGACTTAAGTTAATGTCCAAACATGTATTAAACCATTTAGAATACCATCGAAATTTCCATCAATTCCATACCTTTGCTTCCTTTCATTAACGTTCAGCATCAGACAACAGCGCTATAAAACCGTACTTTAAAGTAAAATACTAAACATTGAAATGGAAATATTAGGCATTTTTATCGTGATTATAGATTGCGCAACTCTGATTTATAAACGTTGACACCTGAATGAAACGAGAAGATTGTATATATAACAAATACAGTATCGGATGACTTTACCTCTCTCAGAATCAATAATCCCGCTCCGTGTTTTAATTTACCTTCTAAACCTACATTTCAGAAGAAAAAAACTAAATATTGAGTGTAAAAGATAAAATTAAATCACCACACGTATCAGTGTAAGAATGTCTGTCAAATGTAAAACCGACTTTTAGTATCAAGTCAGTTTGGTGTTTCTTATTTTTTTCGTGTTTTATGCAGTGACGTGCCTTCCTGTCCTTATACCCCCAAAAGTGTCCTTTTGTTTTCTCTCTCTGTCATAAAAATTGCCAACAACTACGAGAAGATACACCTGGTGCGAGTTATTAGAAAAGAAGAATTTAGCTTTAAAATTAATAAAACAAAGAAACTTATAGGGTTTTACAGTAAAAACAACAACAACAACAATTGTCATATGCTATTAAGTGTTAGTATAAGTGTTAATAAGAACAGAAGTGAGAATGCTGGGATGGCTATTGGGAGTGTCACTGAAAGAGAAGAGAACGAAAAAGGAAATTAAGAAAATGGCGGGAGTCTATGGAATAGAGAAAAAGGCAAGAGAAGTGAGGCTGAGGTGGTTTGGTCACGTGAAGAGAAGAACAAGTAATAAGGAGAGCATTAGAGTTGTCAGTAGCCAGCAAGAGAAGACAGGGAAGGCCAGGAAGGCGTTGGAAAGATGAGATTAAAAAAAAAGACATGGACGCGAAAGGAACTGCAGAAGACCTGGCAATGGATGAATAAAGATGATTGGAAGAGGGTAGCACATGTGAAGGACAACTAAATGGAAAACTCGCAGAAGAACAAGAAGATTAAGTATTAATACACAATAATTTACTGCTTAGTTTTAGTGGTTATAAGGTAAACTGGATGGGAGTAAAAGAGGAACTGCTTGCTTCTTATGGCTTTTTACCCCATGTGTCCTAGAAGCAACCAGCAGTCCCCATAGTCTCATAAAACACCCCCCCCCCAAAAAAAGAAAAAAATGTTTGCCTTACTTTGCTTAAAAAGTGCCCTTTTTGGCAATGAGCCCCTACCATTTTATTATCCTCTGTACATTATTACTGGTTTTAAGTAAAATTACATTCGTAATTTGGGTATTTTCCCCGTACTTATAAAAAGAGAAAGTAAACATATATCTTCCTCATCAATTATAACAAAAGTTTAAAAAGAAATAAGACCTTAGCAACAGAAATAAATTGGAACCAGGACCAAAAGACTGAATTTTTGTATTACCCCTTACTGACTAGTTTCCTTTCCTCTCTAGTCTATCACTTGTGAGTTAGGAACGGTTAGAGCAGTTACCCTTCAGTATCTATGCGCGATAATCCGAAAAAATAATAATAAGTGGAACATAAGCTCTTTCTATACGTGAATATTAATATGATAAATTTAGTAAAATACGATTTCGACCTTGTATACGTTTGTCAATATATGATGTTTTAGCACATGAAAAGCTTGAAAAATAGATTTTATTTTCATCCAAAACTTGAATAATACATATACTTTTGTTATGGTGTGTACGACCTTTACAAGCTGGCGAAACACGATTATAACTAATTATATTTCTCACAAGACATTATGTTAGGCCTATTTATTTTTAACACTACATACCTAATCTAGTCCTTTACGGATTTTCAAGAATTAGGAGAATGTATAATAATAGTATTTCAACCACACTATGTCCGTCATATCCATTGCCGATCCTAGGTTCTAGGTTAAGAACGTAGTGTTAAAAGTAGATAAATAGGCCTAACATAATGTCTTATGCCAAGTATAAACGTTTTACTAATTGTTGATTACACCGTTTTTGTTTTTGTGTAGTTCATATGTGTGTTTTTTTGTTGTTGTTTTTTATGGCAAAGCCACATCGGGCTATTTGTTGTGTCCACCGAGGAGAATGGAACCCCTGATTTTAGCGTTGTAAATCCGTAGACAGTCGTCGCTAACTCTATCTCACTAACCTTATTTTCCTACTTTTAGATAGTTCTATTGGAATAAATGAAAAGTTATTTTCAGCCATTCGAAAAATATCATTTTAAAATATTGAAGTAACGTAGTGTATCATTTTAAAATATTAAAGTGACGTGTGTATCATTTTAAAATATTAAAGTGACGTGTGTATCATTTTAAAATATTAAAGTGACGTAGTGTATCATTTTAAAATATTAAAGTGACGTGTGTATCATTTTAAAATATTAAAGTGACGTGTGTATCATTTTAAAATATTAAAGTGACGTGTGTATCATTTTAA